TTAAAAAATAACTGAAAAAGAGTTTTAAAGAAGTATTTAACAATTTCTAAGGTTGTTTTCTGTATTTTTTGTATGGAGATGAGAATTAACTTGTGAGGATGGTGAGATGTGGGAAATTTCTTATTTTATTAATAATAATTGGCAACAAAGTTTCATAAAATGATCAACATCTCACTGATTCATTCATGGATTGTCAATAATAAACTAAAAAATAAATCTATTCACAAAAAAAGAATTCTGATGATTATGATGTGGGATAATGTGAACATTTGAAACAATTGCATTTATGTCAACAATATTATAACTTTAGTTAATTTAAGAGAAATTCATAGTTGTAAAACCTTTTTGGATCATCATCTATATATTTAAAATCATACCATTGAATTAAAGCCAAATCTTCATTTAAATAATTGGAATTTGTAGACTTAAATAATAACAGAACCTAGATAAATGTTAATATAATATTACTGATTGATTCATATAATTGATTGATTTATTGACAATAAATATACCATTCCATAGCAATTTCCATTATCACTTGGATAACCTTTTAAATCATCTTCATTCATACAAATCACAATGTTACTAAACATAGGCTTAGAATAGAATTGTTCTGTACATCTTATATATTCATCAGAACACAACCTTGCTGTTTCAAAAACTGGACTTCTGTATGTTTGTTAATAGTCTTTCTATTGGCTGTTGGTTCCATATCAAAATATACATCAAGACAAGATATTAAATTTTTTAATCCATCAATAATTTCATTTGATTCGAAATGTTGTTTATTTATATGATCATAAATATTAGCAAGTAGAAATTTTGATGTTGGTTTTATCAATTTAGAATGACCATTTGTTTTGTTTGGTTTATTCTGAGTTTTTTTAAGAGAATCATGAACTATAGTTGAAATGTCTTGTCTATATACCTATACAAATCAGAATCAGAAATAATTAAGTTTATATAAAAATTTGCTAACCATAAAGTAAAAGTACAAAAATATATTTACATGATTTAGCATTTGATTAATGGGTTCCTTTTATTGGTGGAATTTTAACAGAAGATTTGTGAAGTGATTCATATGTTTCAGCTGTTTGACCACTGAGTGAACCAAAATATTTAATGGAAGATGTGTGGTCTAACCATGAATGTAACTTAGGTAATGATAAGCCAGATGGAGAAAAGGATTTAAAAAGTTTGACAAAGATTTCTGCCCAACTTTTTGTCATATTCTATTTGATAAATCAACTATTATTAGTATATAATTAATGCATAATTTGGAAAATAAAGTCATAACTAAAGGAAAATATATCTGAAAATCAACTAACTCATTTTCAGAAAATTAGTTTTTCCTACTCATCAGGTACATGTTATTCCAACTCAAATATAAATTTATGAGCAATTTATTTATCCTGTCAGACTTATTTTTCAAAATGCCCTAAATTACAAAAACCATTATTTACATCAGATTTCAATAAGCATCAGCAGTAGATCTAGAAATATCTTCCAAACCATTCTTAAATTTTTTTAAATGCTTAAATCTTGGTATTTTGCTGATTCACTCATCCATAATTTTTATTCCATGTGTTCCACAATGATATTTTAGGACTTCTCTGGTGTACTCAATTTGATATTTATATAAACCTAAATCTAAGTGATGCAATTTATCAGGAACAGTTGCTAAATATATATTAAAATTTCTAATTGATAATAATAAATCAACAGTTATTTAAAATAGAACAAGAAAAAATGAAAAATAGTAATTTATATAAAAAAATATTAATATTAATTACATTCATGAAGCCAAAATGGATTAAATAATGGATGTAATGATGCATCCTTTTGGGTTCCTGAAAATAAGCAACTTTTCATATTTTCTGGAGTCCTTAAAATTATTTCATTTTCATGTAAATAGATATTGTTTAAATCTCTCCTATTAACTAGACAAACATGACATGGATTTTGACTATTTGATGATTGATAAGTCAGACAGTATGCAGTTGCTTCTACCTAATCACAAATAACCATTGACAAATACACAGAAAATTATTGATTCTCCATTAATAATAAAACTGTGACCACTATAGTAATTATTAATTGGAGGCCTAGTAATTATTGCTAAAGATTTATGGAATATATATTGAGCTTTATATTTAAAATCCTTAGATGATTTTTCTGTAGGTAAATATCCTAATAAAATCTTTGCTTCAGGTTTATTTCATTGATGAGTGTAAATGTTACCTAAAGTTAAATGTATAGGATGTTGACTGGTTTTACCCCAGTGATCACATGTAGTACCATCTGAATATAGTATGACTGATATTATTTTTGCATCAGGATGCAAATTATTTGATGTTTGTTTCCACCAATCACAATTAAATTGCTCCTGATAAATTTGTTGAGTTGATGTTGATCCATCCTAAAATATCAAATTATTAATTAAATCATTAGTAATTTTCATAAGAATTTTTCACATAATATTTTAATAATTACTTCAAGAACTTCTACTTTCTCTTGATAATTAAAAACAAATTCCAAGTCTTTTCTATTTAATAATGATTGTATACATGAAAAAATAGGTCTATATTCTAAATAATATGAATTACCCCCATAAGTTATACTTTTTCTCACATTAATATTATTAATAAATCTTTTTCTTATTTTTGTTGAACATGGTAAAGAATTAGATCCATCTATATGGAAATTATCTTTAATAAATGTGATTACATCATCTCCTTCTTTATTGGTAAGATTGTGCTTTGTTACAAGTAACATAAAATCCCTATATGTTGGATTAGGAAATTCTTCATTCAAATGATCTAATCCTTTTTCTTTTTCAAACTCCTGCAAATCTTCTTCATCAGATGAAAAATCCAACATATCCTCCAGACCATAATTACCATCCAATTCACAATTATTATTCAACCCATTAAACTAAAATGGGTCAGTTAGTCAATAAAAATACTAAATAATCAAAAAATTATTAATAATTACAAACTGACTTTTTGATGAATTGTTTCTTCAATATTAAGATTACCATTTGTTTCATTGATATTTGCTTGAAGTTTGAATAATTCAGATTCAAACTGTTGTTCATAGTATTGACCAATTGAACAAACATCTATTCCATCTGTATCAGAATCCCTGTTAAAGTTGCTGTTACAACTTTTGAATAATTCTGGTTCATCAAGTTCAATGAACTCATCATCAAGTTCAATTGATTCATCATCAATTTCAATGAACTTATCATCAATTTCAATGAACTCATCATCTATATTAGAATCTTCACTGTTATGACTTTTAATATGATTTGAGTAAGCTTGCCCTAATTCAAATCTTTTACTACAATGTTTATAAGTATATTTATAATGCATTAGATCAATTAAAAACAACAATTGATTTTAATCCTTGAAAAGTGTCTGTCTACTGGACTTAGTTAATCATGCAATTAATCTATTGATTTTTTTTTACACATTACATTGGGGTGTTAGATATTAGTATAATCACAAACATAGGGGAAATCAAATAAAGTAAAGATTTTTGTCAATCATTTTTATAATAATTAACAAATGCAAAATTACTATTTATCAATTAAGAAAAATCACCTTTACAGAAATTTTTATAACTCAACATACAGATGGGTTTTTCCAA